CACACTCCAGTGAATACTGTGTCTCCCCACAATCCGATATGCACTTTGAGATCATCAACAGTTACCGACAAAAGTTGTCTATCAATTTTAAACTATTCAACACCAATTCTATGTATACCTACAGTATCAGTAACTGGTCCTAAGTAAGGACAGATATATATATACCTACAGTATCAGTAACTGGTCCTAAGTAAGGACAGATATATATATATACCTACAGTATCAGTAACTGGTCCTAAGTAAGGACAGATATATATATATACCTACAGTATCAGTAACTGGTCCTAAGTAAGGACAGATATATATATATATATACCTACAGTATCAGTGACTGGTCCTAAGTAAGGACGGACATATATATATATATATACCTACAGTATCAGTAACTGGTCCTAAGTAAGGACATATATATATATATACCTACAGTATCAGTAACTGGTCCTAAGTAAGGACAGATATATATATATATACCTACAGTATCAGTAACTGGTCCTAAGTAAGGACAGATATATATATATATACCTACAGTATCAGTAACTGGTCCTAAGTAAGGACGGATATATATATATACCTACAGTATCAGTAACTGGTCCTAAGTAAGGACAGATATATATATATATACCTACAGTATCAGTAACTGGTCCTAAGTAAGGACAGATATATATATATACCTACAGTATCAGTAACTGGTCCTAAGTAAGGACAGATATATATATATATATACCTACAGTATCAGTGACTGGTCCTTAGTAAGGACGGATATATATATATACCTACAGTATCAGTAACTGGTCCTAAGTAAGGACATATATATATATATATACCTACAGTATCAGTAACTGGTCCTAAGTAAGGACAGATATATCTGTACCAGTGTACTTACATACCTACCTTTAGACCTGTATGTACACCTCAGTATATCTTAATGCTGCAGGGATATTGTAGCTTCTGGATACAGTATATATATTTCATCAATTCTGACTCTATACACCAGTCTACACCGCTACCAAGGTTATACATTGTCATACTAATCGATGAACGATTCTTAACCTGTACCTGTCGTAAGTGATAAACAATTGTAGTGTGATATATCTTACACAATTGATAGTGACAGTCAAACAATGGTAACTGTTATCTCATCTGATATCTTGTTGAAGATTTGTCAGCTTAAAATTATCAAATTAATTTTAATCTTCTAAATTTAAATTTGATTTCTATAAATAGATTATTTTTCTATACATGTATGTGTTGTCTATCTTTTATTTTAAGATTCACTTATTTCATTAGGAACTAATAGAATATTGGTAATTTTAGTGAATGACAGTATTTCATGATAACCAATCTTCAAGTTGACTGATCTTTATACATCTGTACATTTACATAGAGCTTCAGCTTCTGGCAAGGAATTGTTGTCAGTTTTGTTAACTTAAGAAACAAAAACAGATAAAATTTTGATAAAGTATTAGTGATAAAATATCTATAGTTTTTGTCTTTTTGTAGGAATTGGAATTATCTGGATAGAAAATTCTTACATTTTGCCTATTTCTGTTGTATGATATAATAGAAATATTCAAAACAATTTCTATGAAGCTTACAATGCTTAGTAATTATTTTTAGTCAGCGAATGCTGTGACCTTTGACCTTGATAGATCATGATGTGGATGGAAACTTAAGTAACAACTTATATATATAATTACTTCAGTTTGAAGACAAATAGTTCATTTGATTATGTACACTGGTATTTCCATTGCAAGTACATGTATTTGTATTTAAATATATTTTTTTTCAAAAACACATGTGAACAGTAACATAGTCAGACCAGGTGTTCCCTTCTGCAATACGTCAGAGGTTACGATCACTCTCGTTCTCTGTACCCCTGGAACATGTCATGGCAAAATTGAAGGCACGAGAGAAGTAATTTGATTGGTTCTAGTTGAAAAAAAAACTGACCAATCAAAGATTACATAGAATCGACATCTAACTTCAAAGCCATTACAATAAATGATTATGCAACCTTGAGATTCGTTTGATGTACATCAAATGATTAAACTAGTCTTTTCGTCTTGTCCACAAGTTGTTGCTCATGGGATGTTGAATTTTGCTATGACATTTTCCAGGAGTGCAGAGAGCGAAAGTGATTGTAATTCCTGGAGGGTTGAGAATGAGGTGTTCCAGGTTCTAGCAGAATGATTGTAATCCCTGGAGGGTTGAGAATGAGGTGTTCCAGGTTCTAGAAGAATGATTGTAATCCCTGGAGGGTTGAGAATGAGGTGTTCCAGGTTCTAGCAGAATGATTGTAATTCCTGGAGGGTTGAGAATGAGGTGTTCCAGGTTCTAGCAGAATGATTGTAATTCCTGGAGGGTTGAGAATGAGGTGTTCCAGGTTCTAGAAGAATGATTGTAATCCCTGGAGGGTTGAGAATGAGGTGTTCCAGGTTCTAGCAGAATGATTGTAATCCCTGGAGGGTTGAGAATGAGGTGTTCCAGGTTCTAGAAGAATGATTGTAATTCCTGGAGGGTTGAGAATGAGGTGTTCCAGGTTCTAGAAGAATAGATCATTGAATTGCATGTTAATTTATTTTGGATAAGGTTCCCTTTCTGATTCCTTAACATCACTTTTATATACTCCTGGTACCAAGATATTCCAAAAGTCTTAGTCTTCTTTACGTTTTATTCATTGTTATCTGTTTTGGTTACAGTTTCCTTATGCTATCTGATTGTTCTCCTGGTTAATTGATCATTTGTAGAGATATATAAGGGACAATGCCATGGTGTCCTATACTCTTGTACTGGATATCCAAAGGTAAGCAGGGCGGTTGTAATGTCAATCGTAAAACAAGCACAACAGCTTCACAGTTTGAGTTCTTAAATGAAAATAGAAGGCAAAACACGTTGACCAGTGTTATAGTTTGAAGAACTCAAACTCGGAATCTGTCCTGGTTGTTTATTCTGGATGGTATATACATGAGATTCAATCCAGCCTAGAAACATAGGCCTTGGGAGGAGACGTTGATAAAATAGACCAGGTATTTAAAATAAAATAGAAATTAACTAACTTAAGTCTAGGTGTCTAGTATTTATCTACAAAAGTAATCAGTACTCATTGTTTATCTCTCATCACTTTTCCCACCAGATGTATGACAAGTCATTCTCTTATAACTATTTGTCTGGTCCATGTTTGATTTTCTGATTTCACATTACAAGAAATTGTTGTAAAAACCAAACCTCTCCTGACACATCAGTACAATATTGAGTTTGTAGATACTCAAATGAATATGTGGATGTTCTGAGTACTTGTACTATATGACTGCATGATATAACCAACAGAAACATGTGATTTAAAATATTACAGTGTACTATATGATACTATATATATATATATATATATATATATTATCACTATGGTGACACAGTCACCAGATATACTGTAGGTATATATATAGATAATTATCACTATAGTGACACAATCATCAGATATACTGTAGGTATATATATATATATATAGATAATTACCACTATGGTGACACAGTCACCAGATATACTGTAGGTATATATATAGATAATTATCACTATGGTAAATGATAACATTATCATAATGTACCTGTTGTTTGAATCTGTGACAGTTATTGAGGAAATATCTATATGGCTGGTGCTCTTATTTCAGGAAAGAAATCATAACATTTTAATTAATATCTCCTCATTAATTAATTTTCTCTGGATGATACCTTTCTCTTGTCGGGACTCAGGTGTTTTTTTCACTGATTGTGGGATAGTTTCAGACATTCATCGTATGTGATGTTCTCAAAGTCATGTGAGAAAATTGAAGAAGAATTCCTGTTTTTTTGTGTCGCATGCAGGTGATGGAAATTCAAAGTTGGATTATAAAGGCTTATGAGCATCAGTACTTTGGATTTTAGGTTGCTTTGGTTTCCCTGACAAATTCTGGATTAAAAGACAAATGTTTTGTGTGATATAATTACAATGATGAGAAAGGTTGTATCCCTGATAATAATAATAGAAAATCAAGGATACAGTGTTATGGGTCTGTTGTTGTTGATAGAATGACATTAGATGTAGTGTTATGTGATCCTGTGGTATATAGATATTCATGTTTGATTGTTTTGTTCCTAATACATTAACTTTACAATGATCTCTGACATAAATGTTCAAACTATGATGAGACAATGTCTGGTCTAAGCACCTGGTATGTCACTATCTCAGAAAAAACTGCTCAGTGTCAACAAACACGTCAACAAACACGTCAACAAACATGTCTACAAACACTTCAACAAACATGTCTACAAACACGTCAACAAACATGTCTACAAACACGTCAACAAACTCAGGATTCTGATTTAACAAAATCTGTAGCTCCTTATGAGGTCATCAACAGAAAGGATACTGGCATGAATATTCCTGAAGTGGATGGGGATAACTGGAAATCTGATACAAATATTCATGAAACTGATGGAGATGATCAGACATCAGATCATGATATGAATATTCATGAGAACAGTTTGGAACCTGATTTACATATTACTGATTTGTCAACTATATTTGACTTTACAGGCATGTCATGCCTGAGAGATGCAGCATATGGAAGAATCAGGTCATTTTATAATACTTTGTAGTAAAAAATAGAGGGGCAATCTGAGCTCACTTTATCCAAGATTCCGACAAATTAGTTACATTTCTATAAATAATCAAAATCCTTGAAAATATAAACATGCAAATAAAAATTTACATAGGCAAAATGTTGATCTGTGTGGATAGCTCTAACCACAACAACCATGAAAATGCTATTCTCATGGCATATACAGCTGTATGAATGCATTTTGATAGAAACATGCTATGGAGTGTATTTTTTTATATTACAAGATTTGAGGGATATAGAATATTATGTAATTGTATTAGAAGTGTACAAACTGTTACAGCAGAAATCAAGTAATGAATGGGGATAGATTTGTAAACTTTTATTTATTTTTTCTCCATTTTTTCAGAGCGATGGGGTTTGGGACAGATTTTCAGGGGAAAGAATCCCACGAGTCACTCCTCCGTATCCAGGACTGTGAGATCCGCGTCCTAGACAACATCAAACGGTGTCTAGCAGTCCGCATTGACAGTGACAAAAAGTATGCGGCTTCTCTCAACACTATTGTACAGAGCGCCCAGAAACTTGACACCAATGAATTCCAAGCTCACTGCTCAGTGTTTAAGGTATTTTACGAGATTGGTTAGGGTACAAGTACAACAACAACACACCTAACTGAACGAAGGAATATAGGAAGACTTAAGACAAAGTATAATGAAAAATAATTTTTGTTTTAGTAATAGTACATACACAATTTATTGACTGATAGTTGGGTACACATGTGTAAAACTTACCTGTCTAATTCAGCATCTTTTTCTTGTAACACCTGATTTTGATCAGTTTGAAAATCCTGATCTGATACCCTTTGGAACACAACGTATTGGTCGGTACAACATTTTTTATCCAACAACAGTTTAGGGCTTAACATTTTGATAAATTGAAAGATCTGACACCATTTAGATCAAAATATACACGTCAGTTTGTGTTGTGTAAAAGATCTCCCAACATCAATATTGATCAAATTTACCTGTGTAATCTAACACTTTTTGGGACAGAACATTGATCACCATATCTTTAATGTTGGAAAACACAGGCAGTTTTTGTTTTGAAATAGGACATCAAAAAATATTGGAATAGAAAAGATTTCAACATTTTCAGTCATGAGATTAGGGAGAATGACAAATGTTCAGGTCAGAACAGACCATGTGTTCTGTTACTCAGGGAAATTAAAACATGATGTATTTACTGATTTCCTGGTGATAAGGTGACTGTGTCTGTGTATGATGTACAGGGCTGGGACACCATTGTGAGACAAACTGACCGGTTTGTAAAACTACTGAGACAGAATGTGGAAGAGATGTCGTCAAAGACAATGGAGAAATTAACGGACCTCATCAATGAAAAAAAAGCCTCTAGACGTTTGTATCAAGAGGAACGTAGCAAACTGGACCAGGAGTTCTCAAAGGTACAAAAATCAGGAGCTGCACTTTAAAGTTGGCAAAGAGAATTTCTTTTAATCTAAAATATCAAAACAGATAAAAAAATCAAATACTATTACGTGGTTGTTATAAAGATTCAATTCAGATCGCACCATTATCAATACATAACTCTTCAGTATAGGTAGAGTGTTATGACGTAAAACCAATGTTATTTAAGTAAACTTTTCGGGGGAAATGATTGATAAAATTAAAACTTGTGTTAACATGACCAAAATAGTACATAGTGATAGTATCTATTTAGAGGTGTGTAGACAGTGTGATATTATGACTTTGGAAATCTTTCTTGAAAGAGCTATCAGATTTCATGTCCGTGCATTGAGGCACTCATCCAGCATTACACCAACATACTAATGACAACATAAAACTGCTTTTTATAGATTTATAATTCATAATGTACTGACAAAAAATTTCTACGGAAAAAGTATGTATCAAATAAATTTAAATTTAAATACATATAAAAAATGAGTTCATCAGAAAAGTATAGGTCTATAGAACATAGAGGATTGCATTGTGATTCAGGATACAGATGTACTGGCTGATCAAGTGTTCTGTATGGTAAGTCAATTTCATTTCAGGTTCAGGAGGATGTAAATAAGTACAAACAGGAGTATGGGAAATGTTTACAGCGGGTCAGTCAGGACCAATCCAAGTTCAATGATGTCAAGGCTAAAGGTATAGTAACTGTTAACACGGGTGGGGCGGTATCTGTTAACATGGGTGGGGCTGTATCTGTTAACACGGGTGGGGCGGTATCTGTTAAGACGGCTGGGGCTGTATCTGTTAACACAGGTGGGGCGGTATATGTTAACACAGGTGAGGCTGTAACTGTTATCAAAGGTGGGGCGGTATCTGTTAACACAGGTGGGGCGGTATCTGTTAACATGGGTGGGGCTGTATCTGTTAACACGGATGGGGCGGTATCTGTTAAGACGGGTGGGGCTGTATCTGTTAACACAGGTGGGGCGATATATGTTAACACAGGTGAGGCTGTAACTGTTATCAAAGGTGGGGCGGTATCTGTTAACACAGGTGGGGCGGTATCTGTTAACAGGTGGGGCGGTATCTGTTAACACGGGTGGGGCGGTATCTGTTAGCACGGGTGGGGCTGTATCTGTTTACACGGGTGGGGCGGTATCTGTTAAGACGGGTGGGGCTGTATCTGTTAACACAGGTGGGGCGGTATATATTAACACAGGTGGGGCGGTATCTGTTAACACAGGTGGGCGGTATCTATTAACACAGGTGGGGCGGTATCTGTTAACACGGGTGGGGCTGTATGTGTTAACACGGATGGGACCTTATATGTTAACACGGGTGGAGCTGTATCCTTTAACACAGGTGGGGCTGTATCTGTTAACACAGGTGGGGCTGCATCTGTTAACACAGGTGGGGCAGTATCTGTTAACACAGGTGGGGCAGTATCTGTTAACATAGGTGGGGCAGTATCTGTTAACATGGGTGGGGCTGTAACTATTAACAAAGGTGGGGCGGTATCTGTTAACACAGGTGGGGTGGTATCTGTTAACATGGGTGGGGCAGTATCTGTTAACACAGGTGGGGCAGTATCTGTTAACACAGGTGGGGCTGTATCTGTTAACACAGGTGGGGCTGTATCTGTTAACACAGGTGGGGCAGTATCTGTTAACACAGGTGGGGCAGTATCTGTTAACACAGGTGGGGCAGTATCTGTTAACACAGGTGGGGCAGTATCTGTTAACACAGGTGGGGCAGTATCTGTTAACACAGGTGGGGCTGCATCTGTTAACACAGGTGGGGCAGTATCTGTTAACACAGGTGGGGCAGTATCTGTTAACACAGGTGGGGCAGTATCTGTTAACACAGGTGGGGCAGTATCTGTTAACACAGGTGGGGCAGTATCTGTTAACACAGGTGGGGCACACAGGTGGGGCTGTATCTGTTAACACAGGTGGGGGGTATCTGCTGTATCTGTTAACACAGGTGGGGCAGTATCTGTTAACACAGGTGGGGGTATCTGTTAACACAGGTGGGGCAGTATCTGTTAACACAGGTGGGGTTAACACGGGTGGGGCAGTATCTGTTAACACAGGCAGTATCTGTTAACACAGGTGGGGCAGTATCTGTTAACACAGGTGGGGCAGTATCTGTTAACACAGGTGGGGCAGTATCTGTTAACACAGGTGGGGCTGTATCTGTTAACACAGGTGGGGCAGTATCTGTTAACACAGGTGGGGCAGTATCTGTTAACACTGGGGCAGTATCTTAACACAGGTGGGGCAGTATCTGTTAACACAGGTGGGGCTGTATCTGTTAACACAGGTGGGGGTATCTGTAACACAGGTGGGGCAGTATCTGTATCTGTTAACACAGGTGGGGCTGTATCTGTTAACACATCTGTTAACACAGGTGGGGCAGTATCTGTTAACCCAGGTGGGGCAGTATCTGTTAACACAGGTGTATCTGTTAACACAGGTGGGGGGCAGTATCTGTTAACACAGGTGGGGCAGGTAACACAGGGGGGCTGTATCTGTTAACACAGTATCTGTTAACACAGGTGGGGCGGTATCTGTTAACACGGGTGGGGCAGTATCTGTTAACACAGGTGGGGCTGTATCTGTTAACACAGGTGGGGCAGTACTGTTAACAGGTGGGGCGTATCTGTTTACATGGATGGGGCGTGTATCTGTTTACTGTGGGGCGGTACTGTTTACATGGATGGGGCGGTATCTGTTTAACATGGTGGGGCATATCTGTTAACACAGGTGGGGTGGTATCTGTTAACAAAGGTGGGGCTGTATCTGTTAACATGGGTGGGGCAGTATCTGTTAACACAGGTGAGGCTGTAACTGTTAACCACAGTGGGGCTGTATCTGTTAACACAGGTGAGGCTGTAACTATTAACAAAGGTGGGGCGGTATCTGTTAACACAGGTGGGGCAGTATCTGTTAACACAGGTGGGGCTGCATCTGTTAACACAGGTGGGGCAGTATCTGTTAACACAGGTGGGGCAGTATCTGTTAACACAGGTGGGGCAGTATCTGTTAACACAGGTGGGGCAGTATCTGTTAACACAGGTGGGGCTGTATCTGTTAACACAGGTGGGGCAGTATCTGTTAACACAGGTGGGGCAGTATCTGTTAACACAGGTGGGGCTGTATCTGTTAACCACGGTGGGGCAGTATCTGTTAACACAGGTGGGGCAGTATCTGTTAACACAGGTGGGGCAGTATCTGTTAACACAGGTGGGGCAGTATCTGTTAACACAGGTGGGGCAGTATCTGTTAACATGGATGGGGCGGTATCTGTTAACACGGGTGGGGCGGTATCTGTTTACACGGGTGGGGCGGTATCTGTTTACACGGGTGGGGCGGTATCTGTTTACATGGATGGGGCGGTATCTGTTTACATGGATGGGGCGGTATCTGTTTACATGGATGGGGCGGTATCTGTTTACATGGATGGGCGATATCTGTTAACACAGGTGGGGTGGTATCTGTTAACACAGGTGGGGCGATATCTGTTAACACAGGTGGGGCGATATCTGTTAACACAGGTGGGGCGGTATCTGTTAACACAGGTGGGGCGGTATCTGTTTACACGGGTGGGGCGGTATCTGTTTACATGGATGGGGCGGTATCTGTTTACATGAATGGGGCGGTATCTGTTTACATGGATGGGGTGGTATCTGTTTACATGGATGGGGCGGTATCTGTTTACATGGATGGGGCGATATCTGTTAACACAGGTGGGGCGGTATCTGTTAACACAGGTGGGGCGGTATCTGTTAACACAGGTGGGGCGGTATCTGTTAACACAGGTGGGGCTGCATCTGTTAACAAAGGTGGGGTGGTATCTGTTAACACAGGTGGGGCGGTATCTGTTAACACAGGTGGGGCTGCATCTGTTAACACAGGTGGGGTGGTATCTGTTAACACAGGTGGGGCTGCATCTGTTAACACAGGTGGGGTGGTATCTGTTAACACAGGTGGGGCGGTATCTGTTAACACAGGTGGGGCAGTATCTGTTAACAAAGGTGGGGCAGTATCTGTTAACACAGGTGGGGCAGTATCTGTTAACAAAGGTGGGGCGGTATCTGTTAACATGGGTGGGGCTGACTGTTAACATGGATGGGGCGGTACCTGTTAACATGGATGGTTGGTCACTATTATCTAGGATGGAAAACGATGAAAAATAGTATTAAATTGAAAATTGAAAAATAACAGCGAAAAACTAGTTTGATGAGTTTTAATCTATGACATGTAAGTCATGATGGAAATGTCCTTTTTGCTTTATCAATGGTATTGGACTCCATGTTTACTGTAAACCTATCTGCCTTTCCTGTTTGAGAATTATCAGAGGATTTCACTATTGAAACAGATTTCAGAAAGTTAATCCCAATGAATTGAGACAAAGGATAAAAATCAACTTTTAGTTTGAAGCAAAAAACTTGCAGATAAAATGACCTTGACCATTACTAATTTGACCTTCATCTTGAATGTCCTTTTATCTTTACAGGTAAATCTGGAGCCAAACTGGAGGATGTAAAGAAAAAGTTGCAGCGATCAACGGCAACTCTTCACCGTGTCCATAACGAGTATGTGTTGTCACTGCGTGAGGTTATGGCCCATCAAACTTGTTATCTTACACAGTCCCTACCTACCTTCCTGGACAGTCAACAGACAACACAGGAACAGCTGGTGTATCAATGGTTTGTTTCTATTTTAGTTTAAGATTTTATTTCTTGGCTGGAAAAAGGGATATAGCAGTATGGAGATCTGTCCATCTGTCTGTCTCTCTGTCTGTTTGTCTCATATCATGGGTAATCAACACCATCCACAGTTTTAGCGGGATTGGTTTTGAATTACCTCCCTTTATCAGTCCTTCTTTTCCTTCTAATGGATAATTTGAAAACTAAAACAAGTAACTCAAGACACATAAAAACCAGATGGTGAAAATAATGAATCCAAGTACGTTGTCAATTTTTTTGAAAATAAGAGTTAGCATGTGTACCGAACAAGTTTAATAAAAATCTGACCAGATAGCAGCATCTAGACGGACAGAAGGACAGACAATGATGGACAAAACGGACAGAAGGACAGACAGAAAGACAGACAGAAGAACAGACAGAAGGACTGATGGAAGGACAGACAGAAGAACAGATGGACAGAAGAAAGACAGAAGGACGGACTGAAGGACAGACAGAAGGATGGATAGAAGGACAGACAGAAGGACAGACGGAAGGACAGACAGAACTCATTTGAATATCCCTTGCCAACTTTGTTGATTGGGGGATAAAACTAAGCAGAAGCAAAGATTTTGATGCTTTATTGATTAATAATAATTATTTGTCTTTTATAGTAAAGATGTGCTAACAGAGTATCACAGACTGACAAACTTCACAAACCAAGAATTTACAAACGTTTTCACGACGATAGAAGAATCAATTGGAAACATTGTCCCAGAAATAGAATATACTGACAAGTTTATGGCAGAGTACAGGTAGGTGTTGTTGTATAAGGGGGATGTGAACCACTGTGTATAGTACAGGTGTTGTTGTATAAGGGGGATGTGAACCACTGTGTATAGTACAGGTGTTGTTGTATAAGGGGGATGTGAACCACTTTGTATAGTACAGGTAGGTGTTGTATAAGGGGGATGTGAACCACTTTGTATAGTACAGGTAGGTGTTGTTGTATAAGGGGGATGTGAACCACTGTGTATAGTACAGGTGTTGTTGTATAAGGGGGATGTGAACCACTTTGTATAGTACAGGTAGGTGTTGTATAAGGGGGATGTGAACCACTTTGTATAGTACAGGTAGGTGTTGTTGTATAAGGGGGATGTGAACCACTGTGTATAGTACAGGTGTTGTTGTATAAGGGGGATGTGAACCACTTTGTATAGTACAGGTAGGTGTTGTATAAGGGGGATGTGAACCACTTTGTATAGTACAGGTAGGTGTTGTATAAGGGGGATGTGAACCACTGTGTATAGTACAGGTGTTGTTGTATAAGGGGGATGTGAACCACTTTGTATAGTACAGGTAGGTGTTGTATAAGGGGGATGTGAACCACTTTGTATAGTACAGGTAGGTGTTGTATAAGGGGGATGTAAACCACTTTGTATAGTACAGGTAGTTGTTGTATAAGGGGGATGTGAACCACTTTGTATAGTACAGGTAGGTGTTGTATAAGGGGGATGTGAACCACTTTGTATAGTACAGGTAGGTGTTGTTGTATAAGGGGGATGTAAACCACTGTGTATAGTACAGGTGTTGTTGTATAAGGGGGATGTGAACCACTTTGTATAGTACAGGTAGTTGTTGTATAAGGGGGATGTGAACCACTTTGTATAGTACAGGTAGGTGTTGTATAAGGGGGATGTGAACCACTTTGTATAGTACAGGTAGGTGTTGTTTAAGGGGGATGTGAACCACTTTGTATAGTACAGGTAGGTGTTGTTGTATAAGGGGGATGTAAACCACTGTGTATAGTACAGGTGTTGTTGTATAAGGGGGATGTGAACCACTTTGTATAGTACAGGTAGGTGTTGTTGTATAAGGGGGATGTGAACCACTTTGTATAGTACAGGTAGGTGTTGTATAAGGGGGATGTAAACCACTTTGTATAGTACAGGTAGTTGTTGTATAAGGGGGATGTGAACCACTTTGTATAGTACAGGTAGGTGTTGTATAAGGGGGATGTGAACCACTTTGTATAGTACAGGTAGGTGTTGTTGTATAAGGGGGATGTGAACCACTTTGTATAGTACAGGTGTTGTTGTATAAGGGGGATGTGAACCACTTTGTATAGTACAGGTAGGTGTTGTATAAGGGGGATGTAAACCACTTTGTATAGTACAGGTAGGTGTTGTTGTATAAGGGGGATGTGAACCACTTTGTATAGTACAGGTGTTGTTGTATAAGGGGATGTGTACCAGGTAATACCCTAGTGGCCTAGTTTTATTGAATTTGAGTTTACATTATGATTATGTTGACTCGTTGGTATTTTCTTATAGTTTCAAATAATCAGATATATGATAGATTACTTTCTTTTTTTCAGAACTGACCCTATAGAAGCGACAACATTTGAGTTTGATGCTGGCTTACTTGATGATTACCAGGGCACATTAGTGGAAAAAAAATTAGCAGTTGATGATCTAACTCACGATGCACTCAAAGTTAGGTAGGTGGTCAGGAAATCACATGACTAATCTATCTCTATGATGACTGGTCTAAATTAAATTTAATTTCTATGAATTGTTCAATTTATTGATAGCCATCTATTTTCATGTTGTCACTCCTCAATCGGTCATTTAGTTATTTATAAATTCCATAAAATTCCAGTTTCTGTTTAAAGCTTTCACCTTCCAAGGGGAATAACTCTCAGCCTGGTCGTCAGTATCAAAGAAGAGATTATTAGTCTTGAAATTCACCAGCATGTTGGGTTTTGCATCCTGATTCAGAGATGAAATTCGGGGCAAAAGTGTTGAAATTCACCAGTGTGTGGGTTTTGCATCCTCATTCAGAGCTAAAAATTGTGGCAAAAGTCTTGAAATTCACCAGCATGTTGGGTTTGGCATCCTCATTCAGGGATGAAAATCGGGACAAAAGTCTTGAAATTCACCAGTGTGTGTGTTTTGCATCCTCATTTGGAGCTAAAAATTGGGGCACAAGACTTGAAATTCACCAGTGTGTGTGTTTTGCATCCTCATTCGGAGCTAAAAATTGTGGCAAAAGTCTTGAAATTCACCAGTGTGTGGGTTTTGCATCCTCATTCAGAGCTAAAAATTGTGGCAAAAGTCTTGAAATTCACCAGCATGTTGGGTTTTGCATCCTCATTCAGGGATGAAAATCGGGACAAAAGTCTTGAAATTGACCAGTGTGTGTGTTTTGCATTCTCAATCACGGATGAAAATTGGGGCACAAGACTTGAAATTCACCAGTGTGTGTGTTTTGCATCCTCATTCAGAGCTAAAAATTGTGGCAAAAGTCTTGAAATTCACCAGTGTGTGGGTTTTGCATCCTCAATCACGGATGAAAATTGTGGCAAAAGTCTTGAAATTCACCAGTGTGTGGGTTTTGCATCCTATTTCAGTAATTCAGGGATAATGAGGAAGCTTTTACCTTTGTTAAAGAGACATGTGACAAATGTGGTCCCTTCTTAAGTGGATACAGAGGCAAAGTCCAGGGGTCATGACATTCATGTAATGAGAACAATTATCTAACCCAGTATTCTTCTTGTCCTTAAATTTGAAAATTTAAACAAAGAAAATGGAGAAAAAAAATATAACATTCCATCACAATTCCATTGTTACATGTAACTTGCAATTTCTAGAGTTACATCAAGGCCTGTTAACTAGATATGCAACTAATGAATGAGAGCCTTGTTAGCCACCATATTTGTAACCTCCTCCCCCAAACTTCCCTCCCCCACCCCTCCAATTGCCCACTTTCTTGTTCAAAACAAAAAAGTCTGTATTCACTTCTACTTTATTAAAGGTCTATTGACAATGTCAGTCTCCATTTTTAAAATCCTAGGGTTTTAATGTGTCGCCTGTAGAGCTGGCGGACACTTAGGGATCACTTTGTCCATCGTCCTGCGGCTGCGGCGTCTGAACAAAAGTTTCCAAGACTTTTTTCAGTTATGCTTTGAGTTATTGAAATGAAATTTGGTATATGGCTTCTTGTTGGAAGGGTACAGATTAGTTTTGACATCCAGTTTGATTTCTGGGTGACCGTGACACTTAATGCAGGCGACTCATACAGTTCCGAGGAAATCTTGTCAGTAGTTTAAGTATCAAATATATTCTTTTCAACAGATAAATGCATGATTTGTTAACTTATCATTGTTAGTTGTCTGTTAATTAGTGTAATATCTTTGTTTACAGGCTAGCATCATTAGAGGAGGAGTTAACATCCCTTCAGCAAAGTTTGAAGGAAAAGGAACCGAAAGTAGAAGAAATAGAAGATGAATTAATTGATCTTAGGAACAAAAGTAAAATGGATCCATTACTTCAACAGGAGTAAGTGTTACAGCTTTCTACATCCAGCGTGTGACCAATACATCACAACGGTGGGTTAGAAACATTGGTGGTTTGGTGGCAAAAAGGATGTAACAATCCACGGATATTATTGATGATTTCATAAACAGTTTATTTTAAATTGAATCAAATTATAATTGATAAAAGACAACAGCCTGTGTAAGGAATATGTGCATCAACATAAGATGTCTGGACATGGACAACATAGTATTTTTGTCTGCAACAACACAAAACTGTCATGTTGAATTTTAGGATTCACATTGCTAAAGATAATTTTGCAAATACAATATTACAGTACACTCTCACCCACCAAACAGAGTTTACAGTACACTCTCACCCACCACACAGAATTTACAGTACACTCTCACCCACCACACAGAGTTTACAGTACACTCTCACCCACCAAACAGAGTTTACAGTACACTCTCACCCACCACACAGAATTTACAGTACACTCTCACCCACCACACAGAGTTTACAGTACACTCTCACCCACCACACAGAGTTTACAGTACACTCTCACCCACCAAACAGAGTTTACAGTACACTCTCACCCACCACACAGAATTTACAGTACACTCTCACCCACCACACAGAGTTTACAGTACACTCTCACCCACCAGACAAAGTTTACAGTCTACTCTCACCCACCACACAGAGTTTACAGTACACTCTCACCCACCAGACAGAGTTTACAGTACACTCTCACCCACCACACAGAGTTTATAGTCTACTCTCACCCACACCACAGAGTTTACAGTACACTCACACCCACCACACAGAGTTTACTGGACATAGAAGTAGATGTTGGTAGTCTGATCACCAGACTATTTTTTACAACCAGTTATACACATTGAACATGTGTCTTGAAAAAATCATGTGACTTTTTTATCGATCTTCTTCATTTGACAACCTTCAATTTCCTGTGTGTGTTTATCATACCCGACATGTATAGTTCATATATACTATTATATTACTCTAGACTATGCAAACAGAAGCGAGATCGTGATAAAGCCTTCTATGATCTGACAGTGACAAAGGTCAAGGTCGCAGTATTAGAGGAAATGGTAACAGCATTGTCAAATGATCTAGAGGCTGTTGGTGAGGATATTCCATCAGCCATGTTGGATTCCAGCATGGTGTCTGATCGCCAGTCTATAAGTGATCTGTCCACGTCTGTAAGTATAATTTCTTATATCTGCACCATATTATAGTCTATATCATAAACATATAATTAACTATACCATAGAATTCATCATAAAACTTAATGAACAATGCTTTAGTCTTTTTGAAAAACTTTATACTAACCATTCTACATTGTACAAAAATAGAACGAATCATGAAATAATCTCTTTGATAAATTTTGAATGAATCCTGCTATAGTCTATATCATAAAACTTTATTGAAACATGTAGAACAATGCTATAGATTATATCATAAAACTTTATTGAAACATGTAGAACAATGCTATAGTCTATATCATAAGACTTGATTGAATCATGTAGAACTATGCTGAAGTCTATTTCGTAAGACTTGAATGAACAACTAAAGTTGTACTCATTGGTTTAAGCCTTAAACTGTATTCAACTTATTAAGTAATGATGTTCCTGTAAGCACCTCTCCACATTTAAATAACATTCTGGTTATTTTGATACTCAATGTTGTGCACATTAAGTAAGGTCATTCAGCATGTTGATCAGAACATTTTGTAACCCCAGTTAGAGAAAATAGGATAATCATCATTGGTACCATTACTACCACAATTAATGAAAAATACACCTGTTAATTTATCGTTTATGAACTGATGTAATAGTCTCTAAAGTGTCCTGTAAAGTACCATGCCAATTGTTCAAATTTTTGAAACTTGATGTGTTGAATAACGTAATTGTTTAATCCATGCATTATCAGTAAGAATAAGTTGACCCTTTCAGCCGCCGACGCCGTCTCCACTACCAGGTATGAGTAAGCTCAAGAACATAAAACGACACATGACTGGCGTTTTGCAACGTCGACAAGGAGGAGACAAAGAAGAGCGTGAGACGGAGAAGGTCCACAGCTATGAGGAACAGTCTCTGGACCACATAAATGGCCCTGGACTGACCAGTACTAATAATTGCACGGTGTGTAGATATTTAGGGCCCTCCACTGAAAATAATTACACATTGAGTGGACTCGTTTCCTGTACAATATGGTTTACAAATTATCATGAATTGATTTTATAAACTGAAACAAATATTACCAGCTCGACATGAGAAAATAATTTACATTTTATTCTGAAAATATGAATGAAACTTGTCCATGCTGATTCCTTTAACTTCTGAAGATTGTCAAACTTTGCAACTCAAGGTCAAGTGTATGGCAGGATGCTCCCTACCCAGGCTGGTAATTTTCCCTCAGATCACAGACTATCCTTTGCTGTCATGGCTTTTGGGGCAGTTTATTATCCCCCATTTGCTTTGGACCTCCAGCATGGTGTTCATTGAGGTAGCCCATAGCTACTACAATTCAACACCTGTCTAATACTTCTGCAGTTTCATTAGAAACATCCAATGAATCATTCATTCTTGGCCTGTTATAATCTTCCTTATCTCTGTTAGTTACGGCACTATGATAACCATTCAACTTTTTTGAGATAAATTTGTCAAATATTCAGAAAATTGCTATTTCGTCAACACATGATAACTAGAATAAAAAGTGTTTAAGGACTTTAATGTGGTACTGAAACTAATGTCAATATTTTTATCATTTTGCTGGACAAATAAGTTTGTAGATAAAAAGTTACAAGGTTAAAGAAATTTAAATGCCCAGAAAAATTAATGATCTCATGCTAAACATGGTTTATTTTTCCCTAGGGTGCTGAGGCCCTCGCTGACCCGAGTCGGCCTTTAGAAGAGGAGGAGTGGTTCCATGGAGTACTACCACGAGAGGAGGTACAGCGTCTCTTGGTTAACGATGGCGATTTCCTCGTTAGGGAGAGCAAAAACCGCAAAACCAATGAGACACAATATGTCTTGTCTGTGAGCTGGCAGGGATATAAACATTTCATCATACAATACGGGGAGGTTAGTGTTTAAATATTTATCTGGTATATAAGTATCTTGTCTGAAAGGGACACTACATCATAAAATACAGGGAGGTAAGTGTTTAAATGTTTACCTGTAATGTTTACCTGTTATGTTTACCTTTAATGTTTACCTGTAATGTTTACCTGTTATGTTTACCTTTAACGTTTACCTGTAATGTTTAACTTTAATGTTTACCTGTAATGTTTACCTTTAATGTTTACATATTATATTTACCTGTAATGTTTACCTGTAATGTTTACCCGTTATGTTTACCTGTTATGTTTACCTTTAGTGTTTACCTGTAATCTTTACCTATTATGTTTACCTATTATGTTTACCTTTAATGTTTACCTGTAATGTTTACCTGCTATGATTACCTATTATGTTTACCTTTAATGTTTACCTGTAATGTTTACCTGTTATGTTTACCTGTAATGTTTACCTGCTATGTTTACCTATTATGTTTACCTTTAATGTTTACCTGTAATGTTTACCTGCAATGTTTACCTGTAATGTTTACCTGCTATGTTTACCTGCAATGTTAATCAGCTATGTTTACCCATTATGTTTACCTGTAATGTTTACTCTGTTATGTTTACCTGTAATGTTTACCTGTAATGTTTACTCTGTAATGTTTACCTGTAATGTTTACTCTGTTATGTTTACCTGTAATGTTTACCTGTAATGTTTACTCTGTTATGTTTACTCTGTTATGTTTACCTGTAATGTTTACCTGTAATGTTTACTCTGTAATGTTTACCTGTAATGTTTACCTGTAATGTTTACCTGTAATGTTTACTCTGTAATGTTTACCTGTAATGTTTACTCTGTAATGTTTACCTGTAATGTTTACTCTGTAATGTTTACCTGTAATTTTACCTGTTATGTTTACCTGTAATGTTTACTCTGTAATGTTTACTCTGTAATGTTTACCTGTAATGTTTACCTGTAATGTTTACTCTGTAATGTTTCCTCTGTAATGTTAACCTGTAATGTTTACCTGTAATGTTTACCTGTAATGTTTACTCTGTAATGTTTCCTCTGTAATGTTAACCTGTAATGTTTACCTGTTATGTTTACCTGTAATGTTTACCTGTAATTTTACCTGTTATGTTTTCCTATTACGTTTACCTGCTATGCTCACCTATTATGTTTACCTGTAATGTTTACCTGTAATGTTTACTCTGTAATGTTTACTCTGTAATGTTAACCTGTAATGTTTACTCTGTAATGTTTACCTGTAATGTTTACCTATTATGTTTACCTTTAATGTTTACCTGTAATGTTTACTCTGCAATGTTTACCTGTAATGTTTACCTGCTATGTTTACCTGCAATGTTGACCAGCTATGTTTACCTATTATGTTTACCTGTAATGTTTACTCTGTAATGTTTACTCTGTTATGTTTACCTGTAATGTTTACTCTGTAATGTTTACCTGTAATGTTTACTCTGTAATGTTTACCTGTAATGTTTACCTGTAATTTTACCTGTAATTTTACCTGTAATGTTTACTCTGTAATGTTTACCTGTAATGTTTACTCTGTAATGTTTACTCTGTAATGTTTACCTGTAATGTTTACCTGTAATGTTTACTCTGTAATGTTTACCTGTAATGTTTACTCTGTAATGTTTACTCTGTAATGTTTACCTGTAATGTTTACCTATTATGTTTACCTTTAATGTTTACCTGTAATGTTTACTCTGCAATGTTTACCTGTAATGTTTACCTGCTATGTTTACCTGCAATGTTAACCAGCTATGTTTACCTATTATGTTTACCTGTAATGTTTACTCTGTAATGTTTACTTTGTTATGTTTACCTGTAATGTTTACTCTGTAATGTTTACCTGTAATGTTTACTCTGTAATGTTTACCTGTAATGTTTACCTGTAATTTTACCTGTAATGTTTACTCTGTAATGTTTACCTGTAATGTTTACTCTGTAATGTTTACCTGTAATGTTTACTCTGTAATGTTTACTCTGTAATGTTTACCTGTAATGTTTACTCTGTAATGTTTACCTGTAATTTTACCTGTTATGTTTTCCTATTACGTTTACCTGCTATGCTCACCTATTATGTTTACCCGTAATGTTTACTCTGTAATGTTTACCTGTAATTTTACCTGAAATGTTTACTCTGTAATGTTTACCTGTAATGTTTACCTGTAATGTTTACTCTGTAATGTTTACCTGTAATGTTTACCTGTAATTTTACCTGTAATGTTTACTCTGTAATGTTTACCTGTAATGTTTACCTGTAATGTTTACCTGTAATGTTTACTCTGTAATGTTTACCTGTAATGTTTACCTGTAATGTTTACTCTGTAATGTTTACATGTAATGTTTACATGTAATGTTTACCTGTAATGTTTACTCTGTTATGTTTACCTGTAATTTTACCTGTAATGTTTACTCTGTAATGTTTACCTGTAATTTTACCTGTTATGTTTACCTGTAATGTTTACCTACTATGTTTACCTGGTCTATGAGTGTTTGATCTTCCAGAGACACTGAAATCTGAATCTTTTTATCTCTAGTTCTGGTAACGTTACCTAGTGTTTTGATAGGCAAGTAAATCTGAAATATTTTGATTTAATTTTGGTGTTCTCAGTCAATCCCTTCAAGACTTTAAGTAGAACCTTGATATATGTTTTTTTAAAGAAGAAGAATCTTAATTTGATACGATGCTTGTTTTGACGACTCAGGGAAATGTTGATTTTGCTCTTGATGTATGTAGCTGAAAGTGATATATCTGACAAACTTTGGTTATGTGAAAGATTTATCTAGAATCCTATCTTTTCAGTAAACACATTTGTTATAATTATTTGCTGAATTTAAAACTTTGTCTCCCGTATTCATCTAAAATCATTTGACTTCAGTTTTTATTTTGCTTTGTAACAAGTGAGTCTTGGTTTTAACTTTGATGTGCTCAACATGTATTTAAAAAAAACAAGAAATATTATGAATGTGTTACTAATTAGGTTTCCATTGACTGATGTTGTTGTACTGACAGGGCGGTTGGAGATTTGAGGGGCCGTCCTTTCCTACGATCCATGAGTTGGTGAACTACCAGTATAAGATTGGAACTGATGTGACAAGTAAATCAAGAGCCATCCTGAAGAAACCGATCCTTCGGGAACAGTGGCAGTTAAAGAACGACGACATCGCTCTGGAAATGAAAATTGGAAATGTATGTTACTACAGATTAAAGGAAGTTTATCACTAATTAGATTATTACTATATACTAATACTGTTTTAGAAAAATCTAATTGGGATGATTATTGCTGTTGAAGATAAATTTACGAGAAATTGGTTTCAGCTATATCTCATGATAAATTTTTTTTATTTCATTGGAACAAAATGTTGTCAAGGTTGGTTATAATCATCATGTGTCCATAGTTAGGGTCACTATTCAATTTATGATTGAATTATTCAGAAAATTGGTAGTGATCACAGAGGCTTTGTCAATAGCGTTTTGTGTGTCATCTTTTTTAAGATCAGGAGGTTGATGGCGTGGTCAGCCTTGATCGCCTTAAGATCAGGAGGTTGATGGCGTGGTCAGCCTTGATCGCCTTAAGATCAGGAGGATGATGGCGTGGTCAGCCTTGATCGCCTTAAGATCAGGAGGTTGATGGCGTGGTCAGCCCTGATCGCCTTAAGATCAGGAGGTTGATGGTGTGGTCAGCCCTGATCGCCTTAAGATCAGGAGGTTGATGGCGTGGTCAGCCTTGATCACCTTAAGATCAGGAGATGGATGGCGTGGTCAGCCTTGATCGCCTTAAGATCAGGAGGATGATGGTGTGGTCAGCCCTGATCGCCTTAAGATCAGGAGGTTGATGGTGTGGTCAGCCCTGATCGCCTTAAGATCAGGAGGTTGATGGCGTGGTCAGCCTTGATCGCCTTAAGATCAGGAGGTTGATGGCGTGGTCAGCCCTGATCACCTTCTTCATTCTTTACAGGGTAACTTTGGTGAGGTATACCGTGGCATATACAAACTAGGGAACAAGACTGTGGCAGTGAAAACGTGTCGAGACACGTTGTCCGAGGATCAGAGGAAAAAATTCCTCATGGAAGGACGTATCCTGAAGCAGTATGACCATCCAAACATCGTCAAATTTATCGGAATCGCTGCTCAACGACAACCAGTGATGATTGTGATGGAATATGTTGCTGGTAAGTTGTGTAGTGTCATAAGTACCTTAAAGTAATTCATAATAGATATAACTTACAGATAGGGCCGAACAAAACACAACTTACAGATAGGGCCGAACAAAACACATAACACTTACAGATAGGGCCGAACAAAACACATACAACCTACAGATAGGGCCGAACAAAACACATACAACCTACAGATAGGGCCGAACAAAACACATAACACTTACAGATAGGGCTGAACAAAACACATACAACTTACAGATAGGGCCGAACAAAACACAACTTACAGATAGGACTGAACAAAACACATACAACTTACAGATAGGGCCGAACAAAACACATAACACTTACAGATAGGGCCGAACAAAACACATACAACTTACAGATAGAGCTGAACAAAACACATAACACTTACAGATAGGGCCGAACAAAACACATACAACTTACAGATAGAGCTGAACAAAACACATAACACTTACAGATAGGGCCGAACAAAACACATAACACTTACAGATAGGGCCGAACAAAACACATACAACTTACAGATAGGGCCGAACAAAACACATACAACTTACAGATAGGGCCGAACAAAACACATACAACTTACAGATAGGGCTGAACAAAACACATACAACTGACAGATAGGGCCGAACAAAACACATACAACTGACAGATAGGGCCGAACAAAACACATACAACTTACAGATAGGGCCGAACAAAACACATAACACTTACAGATAGGGCTGAACAAAACACATACAACTTACAGATAGGGCCGAACAAAACACATACAACTTACAGATAGGGCCGAACAAAACACATACAACTTACAGATAGGGCCGAACAAAACACATAACACTTACAGATAGGGCCGAACAAAACACATACAACCTACAGATAGGGCCGAACAAAACACATACAACCTACAGATAGGGCCGAACAAAACACATAACACTTACAGATAGGGCCGAACAAAACACATACAACTTACAGATAGGGCCGAACAAAACACAACTTACAGATAGGGCTGAACAAAACACATACAACTTACAGATAGGGCCGAACAAAACACATAACACTTACAGATAGGGCCGAACAAAACACATACAACTTAGAGATAGGGCCGAACAAAACACATAACACTTACAGATAGGGCCGAACAAAACACATAACACTTACAGATAGGGCCGAACAAAACACATAACACTTACAGATAGGGCCGAACAAAACACATACAACTTACAGATAGAGCTGAACAAAACACATACAACTTACAGATAGGGCCGAACAAAACACAACTTACAGATAGGGCCGAACAAAACACATAACACTTACAGATAGGGCCGAACAAAACACATACAACTTACAGATAGGGCCGAACAAAACACATACAACTTACAGATAGGGCCGAACAAAACACATACAACTTACAGATAGGGCCGAACAAAACACATACAACTTACAGATAGGGCCGAACAAAACACATACAACTTACAGATAGGGCCGAACAAAACACATACAACTTACAGATAGGGCCGAACAAAACACATACAACTTACAGATAGGGCTGAACAAAACACATACAACTTACAGATAGGGCCGAACAAAACACATAACACTTACAGATAGGGCCGAACAAAACACATAACACTTACAGATAGGGCCGAACAAAACACATACAACTTACAGATAGGGCCGAACAAAACACAACTTACAGATAGGGCCGAACAAAACACATAACACTTACAGATAGGGCCGAACAAAACACATACAACTTACAGATAGGGCCGAACAAAACACATACAACTTACAGATAGGGCCGAACAAAACACATACAACTTACAGATAGGGCTGAACAAAACACATACAACTTACAGATAGGGCCGAACAAAACACATAACACTTACAGATAGGGCCGAACAAAACACATAACACTTACAGATAGGGCCGAACAAAACACATACAACTTACAGATAGGGCCGAACAAAACACAACTTACAGATAGGGCCGAACAAAACACATAACACTTACAGATAGGGCCGAACAAAACACATACAACTTACAGATAGGGCCGAACAAAACACATACAACTTACAGATAGGGCCGAACAAAACACATACAACTTACAGATAGGGCCGAACAAAACACATACAACTTACAGATAGGGCCGAACAAAACACATACAACTTACAGATAGGGCCGAACAAAACACATACAACTTACAGATAGGGCCGAACAAAACACATACAACTTACAGATAGGGCTGAACAAAACACATACAACTTACAGATAGGGCCGAACAAAACACATAACACTTACAGATAGGGCCGAACAAAACACATAACACTTACAGATAGGGCCGAACAAAACACATACAACTTACAGATAGGGCCGAACAAAACACAACTTACAGATAGGGCCGAACAAAACACATACAACTTACAGATAGGGCTGAACAAAACACATAACACTTACAGATAGGGCCGAACAAAACATAACACTTACAGATAGGGCCGAACAAAACACATACAACTTACAGATAGGGCCGAACAAAACACTTACAGATAGGGCCGAACAAAACACATACAACTTACAGATAGGGCCGAACAAAACACATACAACTTACAGATAGGGCTGAACAAAACACATACAACTTACAGATAGGGCCGAACAAAACACATAACACTTACAGATAGGGCCGAACAAAACACAACTTACAGATAGGGCCGAACAAAACACAACTTACAGATAGGGCCGAACAAAACACAACTTACAGATAGGGCCGAACAAAACACAACTTACAGATAGGGCCGAACAAAACACAACTTACAGATAGGGCCGAACAAAACACATACAACTTACAGATAGGGCTGAACAAAACACATAACACTTACAGATAGGGCCGAACAAAACACATACAACTTACAGATAGGGCCGAACAAAACACAACTTACAGATAGGGCCGAACAAAACACATACAACTTACAGATAGGGCCGAACAAAACACAACTTACAGATAGGGCCGAACAAAACACAACTTACAGATAGGGCCGAACAAAACACAACTTACAGATAGGGCCGAACAAAACACATACAACTTACAGATAGGGCTGAACAAAACACATAACACTTACAGATAGGGCCGAACAAAACACATACAACTTACAGATAGGGCCGAACAAAACACATACAACTTACAGATAGGGCTGAACAAAACACATAACACTTACAGATAGGGCCGAACAAAACACATGACACTTACAGATAGGGCCGAACAAAACACAACTTACAGATAGGGCCGAACAAAACACATAACACTTACAGATAGGGCCGAACAAAACACATCCAACTTACAGATAGGGCCGAACAAAACACAACTTACAGATAGGGCTGAACAAAACACATAACACTGACAGATAGGGCCGAACAAAACACATACAACTTACAGATAGGGCCGAACAAAACACATAACACTTACAGATAGGGCTGAACAAAACACATACAACTTACAGATAGGGCCGAACAAAACACAACTTACAGATAGGGCTGAACAAAACACATACAACTTACAGATAGGGCCGAACAAAACACAACTTACAGATAGGGCTGAACAAAACACATACAACTTACAGATAGAACTGAACAAAACACATACAACTTACAGATAGGGCCAAACAAAACACAATTCTTGTTCCTGGTAGCCCTGCCTGCCTTGATATTTGGTGCCTGACCTGAACTTTAAAGGTAATTATTAAAGAAACACAAGATGTCTCTGCTACTTAATTTAAAAGTATTTGTTAAAATACCAGTTTTAGCTACTTACTTGTCATGTAACACCGAACACATACAGCGTAGTATATTTTTATCAGGCCTATGGTACGGTATTTATCTGTTAGGTTTTGCCAAACTTATCTCTATGTCCCTTCTCACCCTTGATACATGTCCTTGACCTTGTCACTGCTGATTTTAAACAATGTTAATGACATTTGTAAAAAAAAAATCAAATACATTTTTTTCTCCCTGTAGGTGGCGCTCTGCTGACCTTCCTGAGGAAGCAGGGAAAGCATCAGACCAAGAAACAGCTTACCCAGATGTGTGAGGATGCAGCGAAGGGTATGACGTATTTGGAGAGCAAGAGCTGTATACATCGGTAAATGTTTACCATGGCGACCATTCAGGTGTCACAATTAATGGTGTATACCACCTAGATAAGATTTGAACCTTTTTCACAAAGAGTTCCAACATCATAAATTTACAGAATTGAATAATCTTTTCCATTTATCTTGTACAGAAGACATGTTTTGATGTTACATTGTAATAGATTTGTACTAACACTGGTCAGGTGATGCGCGTGCCTTTCACCAAAACAGAAGTGAAAAGGTCAGAGGTCACCTGACCAACCATACAGGCTTTCCCAAGGTTCTCCAATTTCTGTCCAAGAGTCGTCATGAGCTTTGATCTGTGCCAACTAGACTGATTTATATTAGGTGTGATAAATTTGAAGTGGTTTTCAGATGAATAAGATTCTATTTACAGTCACATTAGTGATGTCATTATAACCAGATATCAGGATGTGAAATAGCTCAATGATTACTCTTTCTTAGGGACCTAGCAGCTCGTAACTGTCTGGTGGGTGACAGCAATGTGGTGAAGATCTCAGATTTTGGAATGTCCCGCGAGGAAGAGGAATATACTGTTTCTGAGGGGCTCAAACAAATCCCAATCAAATGGACCGCTCCTGAGGCTCTTCTTTATGGTAGGTACAGAAAAATGGCTCATATGTTTTAAAATATTCTTCACACAATTAATATAGGTGTAACAGAGAGAGAAGTGAAAGGTTAAAGGTCACAGAATCACTGCAGAGTATGATAATGAATTATGGTGTCTAGATGTTATGTAGGTAAATACACATCAAATTATGGTGTTTTGTAGGTAAATACACATCAAATTATGGTGTTTTGTAGGTAAATACACATCAAATTATGGTGTTTTGTAGGTAAATACACATCAAATTATGGTGTCTTGTAGGTAAATACACATCAAATTATGGTGTTTTGTAGGTAAATACACATCAAATTATGGTGTTTTGTAGGTAAATACACATCAAATTATGGTGTCTTGTAGGTAAATACACATCAAATTATGGTGTCTTGTAGGTAAATACACATCAAATTATGGTGTCTTGTAGGTAAATACACATCAAATTATGGTGTCTTGTAGGTAAATACACATCAAATTATGGTGTTTTGTAGGTAAATACACATCAAATTATGGTGTCTTGTAGGTAAATACACATCGCTTTGTGATGTATGGAGCTTTGGAATCCTCATGTGGGAAGTTTTCTCTGGTGGTCAGACGCCTTACTCTGGTATGACCAATAACCAGGCCAGGGAGAGAGTGGACGATGGTCAGTACCAAACTTAAGGTCAAAGTGGTTTTACTCTTTTTTTTTTTTTTTTTTATAAAAGTTGATAATTCTGAATTATTTCTGATTGATTCACTCAGAAGATGACTCCACTAGTGACTCAGTTTGATGTTTAAAAATTTGAACAGAAAGATCAGACTCTCTCCCTTAAATGAATTCTAGTTAGGAATAATACACAGCCATGAATTGTGTCTAATTAAATTTGTTTTTCAGGATACCGGATGCCAGCACCAGAGGGCACTCCAGATCTAGTTTACAAGTTAATGCTCAAGATATGGGAATACGACACGTCCAAGAGACCTCACTTTGCTGAGGTGATGAAAGAATTGACAAACATTATCAGAAAGTTATAATGGCAGTTGTTTATTAATCAAACACATGTTTTTTGTTAAATTATTATAATACAGAGTATTTGAAACCAACAATCTGAGAGAGATGTTCTCCGATGTTACATTGGTTTAGAGAGGCCTTACTGTCACTGCTGTTTTTATATAGGGTCTGGCAGGAGTCACTACATCCTGTTTCATTTTAAAGCTTGTGTCATCTCAAGTCAATGGACATGTTATAGAAATTTATTTTGACATGTTTACAAGTGAAAGATTCTATTTCTCATAGAACTTATTATTGATTAGAAATGAGAGGAAAACTGTCCAGTGAACATTTCGTATAGGAAGGCAAATTTCAGCCTGTACAAGAAGTCTTGCCAACACAAACACATGTATGTATTTAAATCAGCTGGCGCGGCTTCACAGCGCTGGATGGTCAATTTAATTATGTGACTATGAATGCAACTACACTGTAACATCACAGTTTTCTTGTCTTTCCATTCCATAGTTTGGTAATATAGATATATATACTAAAGTATTTTCTAAAGGTGATTACAGTCCATATAAATGCAAGCAACCTTCTGGAAAGTTCCATAAAACTAGCTATTTCAAAAACACTTCATGGTTAAAATAAGTTCCAATTGTGATATTATATGTTGTGTGGTATTTTAGATGTTAGGATGGCAGGATAAGACATCTGTGGGATAAAACAAAGTAACAGTAAAGTGAAAGAGATCCCTGGATTGTGGGTGAGATCCCTGGATTGTGGGTGAGATCCCTGGATTGTGGGTGAGATCCCTGGATTGTGGGTGAGATCCCTGGATTGTGGGTGAGATCCCTGGATTGTGGGTGAGATCCCTGGATTGTGGGTGAGATCCCTGGATTGTGGGTGAGATCCCTGGATTGTGGGTGAGATCCCTGGATTGTGGGTGAGATCCCTGGATTGTGGGTGAGATCCCTGGATTGTTGGTGAGATCCCGGGATTGTGGGTGAGATCCCTGGATTGTGGGTGAGATCCCTGGATTGTGGGTGAGATCCCTGGATTGTGGATGGGATCCCTAGATTGTGGATGAGATCCCTGGATTGTGGGTGAGATCCCTGGATTGTGGGTGAGATCCCTGGATTGTGGGTGAGATCCCTGGATTGTTGGTGAGATCCCTGGATTGTGGGTGAGATCCCTGGATTGTTGGTGAGATCCCTGGATTGTGGGTGAGATCCCTAGATTGTGGATGAGATCCCTGGATTGTGGGTGAGATCCCTGGATTGTGGGTGAGATCCCTGGATTGTGGGTGAGATCCCAGGATTGTTGGTGAGATCCCGGGATTATTGGTGAGATCCCTGGATTGTGGGTGAGATCCCTGGATTGTGGGTGTGGTCCCTGGATTGTTAGTGAGATCCCTGGATTGTGGGTAAGATCCCGGAATTGTTGGTGAGATCCTGGGATTGTCGGTGAGATCCCTGGATTTTTGGTGAGATCCCTGGATTGTGGGTGTGGTCCCTGGATTGTCGATGAGATCCCTGGATTGTCAGTGAGGTCCCTGGATTGTTGGTTTACAATATTGTTGGGATATTTGAATCTTGTTTTGACTTGAGAATTAGTCCTGAGGACACAGTACTATGTTAAACTATATACATTGTAAGTTATATCTAGATATACTTGTTTGATGAAGTGATATTGTACAGTGTTAAATGTATACCTAACTGTATATTGAAGAGATTCACCTGTAAACAACATACAAATATATACAATTCACATATTTGATGAAACAAATTTACTTGTGACGGCAACAATTTTGATGATTTTTCACAAACATTGATGTGATGGTTTTGTATGATTGTGGAGAATTAATCATTATTCAAAATTATAGTAAATATATCAGAACGGCTTAAACAGGAATTTAATCGGGGTAAATAAGTGTTGATAAGTGTTTCACTGTGTTAATATGTTCTAATGTTGTGATACTGTTGTGACAGCTGTACTCAAGTTTCTAGCAGTCTCAGCAAGCTGTAGTTTAGTATTTTGGAATTCTGGTTTTATCAGACAATTAACTGGCAATTAAGAGGATTCTATCATAAAGGTTAAAGGTCATGGTTAAGATTCCTAATCCCAGGGTCTGTTTAAAGTTCATTCCTATCCTTGTGAAAATATCAGTATCAGATCCCTGTCCCTTAGTTTAGTTCTGACTACAGAAAATCCCTGTCATCTTGTTCATTTCCCAAACACTTAGACTTTACTGGTAAATCCACACTCCTTAGTCTGTATAATTTGCCTGAACTCCCTTCCCCAGGTCAGTATATTTTCTCAGTTCCCAACTCCCCTTTACAGGTTTGTATCATCTTTCTCAATTAAAAACCCCACATACTTCACTGGTAAATCCCTTCTTTTCCTTGATGGACTCCAGGTTTTGTTTAGGGCTGTTCCAGTAAACATCTATCCCCCAGGACTCCAGGTTTTGTTTAGGGCTATTCCAGTAAAACATCTATCTCACCCCAGGACTCCAGGTTTTGTTTAGGGCTATTCCAGTAAACATCTATTCCCCCAGGACTCCAGGTTTTGTTTAGGGCTGTTCCAGTAAACATCTATCCCCCAGGACTATGGGCTTTCACTCAAAGAACTTAATGTTACATTATTTACTTAGAAGTAATAGACAGGAAACTGAACCACGGATCGACGGGATTTCTTTTGGAATTCTGGGGTCACTGTTTCACGATAATGTCCACAACTTCAAAGTGCTACTATATCATGAATATGTAGAAAGAATATGTATACAAAAAGAACAATAATCAACTGTTTTAACAACTTCGTGTGTCCATATGAAATATATTCCTTTACCTATTAAATACAGTTAGACCACTAAAATACCTGTTAACGTTGACAGTCACCATATTTCTCTATGTCTGTTACAGTTATAACTCAGTTTACCAGGGAGAGTTGTTAGCAGTGTAAATACAACATGAAAATGCTTCTTCGCTTAAAGTTTGGTTGTGGCACTTTTCTTTCAATTTTATGAATTTTTATGATGTTTTTATTTCAATGCTTTTGTAATACTGATGTCTGGTGTAGTATTTAATTAATATTTTGATGTGAGGAAACCTCAACCAGCCCAGAAATATTGTAATTGTGTCTCTAAGTAAAGAAACCCTTATGACTATATCTTTTGATTTTGAACCGAAAATCTGTTTGAATTTATTTTGTTAAGTCCTAGTTACCACATATATCTGATATCCTGCAGTGAGCCCATATATGGTAATAAGAGCAATATAATTTACAGGGTAAAAGGTAAAAGCTATCTCATTGTTGTACAAAGCCTACCCCAGTAGCCCTGAGCTAGAGGTTAGGTTATTCACCTTCAGTATGGATGTGGAAGGGAAAGAGCTTTTTACCAGAAATTTACACAACTAATCCTGAAATAAGTCTACATTTCATAATAAGCCAATCTATTTTCTTTTGAATGATTAACAAATGTCCTGTGTTCCCCCTCAATAAGCCTGTCACTTTATGTCAGATTTGGTTCCCACCCTGCAATTTTCACAGGATAAAGAATGTCTGATACAGAACAAAACATTTGGGACAGAGGACTTTGGCGTTTCAGATTTTTATCTCTATTTTTATACATGTATGTCTGTATATTGGATAAGAATGTTGTAGAGGTTTGAGGTTCAGTGCCTGATCAGATACAATTATTTCTCTACTAAGTATCATTAGTTTGGCGCTGATCATGTGTTGTTGTTTTTCTAGAACGATGATAGATATTTTCATTGTGCCTTAAGCAGAAGATTTTTTCCTGAAAAATCAGTGTTAATAGATACCAGACAGATATCACACTATTTAACAGTCTGGGCTTTGTTACCTTTGTCTCTCTGTAGCTCTGTTGGTAGAAGACAATTATTCTCTGCTCGGACCAAGTCTTCCTGGAGAAAGAAGGAAATCTTTATCAACCATCAGGATATTTGTTATTTTTACTACAGTGGTAGAACACTTAATTATGTGCTCTAGTCTTTAACTCTGACTGGAGAAATTTGGAAAAGAAGTGATTTTAATTACAAAATAGTCTTTGTTAAAACAAAATTTCCAAATTCTATCTAAATATTTGTGTTCTGTTTTTTCAGGTGCATCCATTTGTACCTGAGGATAGTTATTGGTGAAGCTGTGTTATATATCTAGAAAATACTGGTCCAATCTGTTTTTCTCCTATTTATTGTAAAATAGATTAACTTTATTTGACAGCAATAGGTTAATGATAAGACAGGCCTTCTATAAGAGTGCTATATAGACCCATTTATCAATCAAATCTGTCCATCTGCTTAACTGCAAAAAGACATTTAATACATTGTAAACAAAATGGCTTTGAAGAAATGATCACCAGCATTTAAAAACTTGTACAAAATATCATTTTAAATATTTTTGTACATTTTAGTTTTCTAATAGCAGCATTTAAACAAATTATAAAAAAAATATTTGTTTGTACTGTTAGTTTAAAATTTTTCTAATTTTAGTTTACAGGTATTTTTTACAAACAATGGATTGGTTGTTTGGTTGTTTGGTTGGTCATAGGTTGGCTGGCTGGTTGGTTGGTTGGTTGGCTGGCTGGTTGCTTGGTTGGTTGGCTGGTTGCTTGGTTGGCTGACTGGCTGGTTGGTTGGCTGGCTGGTTGCTTGGCTGGCTGGCTGGTTAGTTGGCTGGTTTGTTGGTTGGTTGGTTGGCTGGCTGGTTGGCTGGCTGGATTGTTGTTTGGCTGGCTGGTTGGTTGGTTGGTTGGTTGGTTGGTTGGTTGGCTATAGGTTGGTTGATTGGCTGGTTGGTTGGTTGGTTGGTTGGCTATAGGTTGGTTGATTGGCTGGTTGGTTGGCTGGCTGGATTGTTGTTTGGCTGGCTGGTTGGTTGGCTAGTTGGCTGGCTGGCTGGCTGGCTGGCTGGTTGGTTGGTTGGTTGGTTGGCTGGCTGGTTGGTTGGTTGGTTACAGGTTTTCTGTCTCCCTGACTTGTCCTATTTCTAGGAGTTGTCCCACCAACAAATGTCATTGATC